GCTGGATGCCTTTATTCTTTAAGGGTGTATTTCAACTCTAGAGCTTATATTAAATCATTTCATTATTTTTTTTACTATTCTGCTGACAAGTAGGAAGAAATGATGTGTTCCTCCCATGCAGTTTTTGTTGAATGTATTTCGACAAGAAGTTTATCAGAGTATATTCGTACAGATACTTTACGAGTGAAACTGAGTCAAATATCCACGTGTTATGGTTTGCAACCATTTTTTAGAACTGCACAAAACATTTTGATAGATGACTTTCTTCGTGCACATTATTTGACTAAAAGCACTTTTTTTAAGAGGAGGAGACGAAACAAATTGCATTTTACAGTCTGTGGTTATCTAAGGATAAGGAGGAGGCATTGAATGTATTTAAAATTTATTAATACTGTTTGAATAAAAATATCGTATGTTTTTTCGTAGTGTTCGTATAACAGAAAAGTACCAAAAATTACAGCACTCGCCTTTTTCAATAAATTTTTAAATTTGTCTGATAAAGAATAAACCTTCTTTATGGCTTTATAAATGACAAAATTGTTCTTGAGGCTTATTTCTGTACATCTTGCATTGTATGTACTCTGTAATGTACGACTGAAATTTGTCGTAAGTTGAGAGTTCTCATATGAAACTTCCAAATAAAACTATAATTTCTTCTTTTTTATAAAATGTGTATTATTATTGCATACAGAACATTCAACCTCCTTTGCAATGAAACCCATGCTCCATTGTAATACGGCCATTTTTCCCTTTCATTCCAAATTATGAAGAAAACCTGAATCGTACTCTCCCACCATAGTACATACAGGTCGAACAAGAATTGAGAAAGTCAAAGGCTTGTTTTCTCTGTTTAAAAATACACTTTTTCAGAATTAAAAAATAACTTCAAAAACAGATTGCATAGTACCGAGAGAGAAAATTTCATATTTCTATTTACTTTGGTTAACAAAAATATAAGGTTGCCAAAATAAAATCATTACATAACATTGAAAAGAGTAAGGTTACCAGATTTTATCTAGCAACAAAATCTCCAAATTTGGCATGCACTGTATACTTCACTTTAGTTGAATTTCTTTGCAGGTATCTTCAAATATAAAATCTATTAGATATACAAGGGCCATCTGGAAAGTTTCCAACTTAACAAAGAAAAAAGATATTTTCTCCAAAATTACCTTATTGTCGAAACGTAGTCTTCTTGTAAGTCTATAAATTTCTTCCAGCGATGCTCCCATCCTTTTAACCTGCCCAATTAATATGTGGTTTCTTTCTCTGCAAAGTAGTTATTAACAAAGTAACAAATAACCTCCTCATTTGATGAAAATCTTTGTCCTCTAAGTGCTTTTTTTAGCTTGGGGGGGGAAGTTATGTGGTGCCAGGTCTGGCGAATAAGATAGATGGTCAAGCAGTTCAAACTGTAATTCATGGATTTTCGCTATTATAAAACCTGAGCTCCTGAGCTGTGAGATGGGGCATTGTCTTGGTGAAACAAAAAATTTTTTCTTTTGCAAATGTGGTCATTTTTCCACAATTTGTGCCTTTATCTTGTCCAGTAATATTGCATAGTACACTCCGGTAATGGTTTTTCCCTTTTCAAGGTAATCTATTAAGACAATCTCATGGCTGCCCCTGAAAATTGCTGCCATTGTTTTCCCAGCAGAAGGAACAACTTTTTCCACCTATTCTCCCTTTGCAAGTTCACTGTTTTGACTGTGTTTTTGTTTCTGGTCTGCAATGATGAATCCAGGTTTCATTGACAGAGATTAATAGTCGAAAAAACTCTGATTTAATTCACATGAATTGTGCCAACAGAACAGAGCAAATGTTCATTTGGGCATGATTTTATTCCAAAGTGAGCAAACGGGGCACCCAGTGTGCAGCTAGCTTGCGCATATCTAAATTTTGGCTCAAAATGTGGCAGACACATTCTTTGGACATGCTCATAGCTTCTGTTATCTCTCTAACCTTGATTCAACAGTCATCCAGCACCATTTGATCGATTTCAGCAATGTTTTCATTAGTGGTTGCAGTTTTTGGCCATCCTGAACGTTCATCATCCAAGCTGGTAAGTCCACATTTAAATTCAGCTGCTCAAAATTTATACGTAATAAATGATGGTGCATTGTGTCCAACTCCTCTTTAATCTGAGTAGGCATATTCCCTAAGTATCTAATGAAAGCACGATACTCGATTTTTTTTTTTTTTTCCCATTTTTTTCAAAAACGGTCACATTAAGTCACAAAAATAATTTTCGAACAGAAAATTTGCATTCAAAATAGCTGAAATTTTGATTGGTAATTGTTGAGTGATGCCCAAACAAGTTTTCCCCCACTTCGGTTGAGTTGTCATCTACATATCGAAGTCAAATGTTTCAGACAGACCTCAGGTGCTAGTTGATTCGTTTGGAACTAATTTTGTAAGCGGCACATGCACATCTAAATTATCATGCTATCTTCACTAAATTTTCATACTGTCCTTAAATTCCTTATTTTCAGTTTTTTCTGTCATCTTTCATTTTTTTGTTTGATTCAAAAACAACAAAATAAAAAGAAAAGGGAAAAAATATTATCTGTTAAGAAGTTACATTATTCCATAAACTACAATCTTTTATTATTGTGGTTTTCATAAATAATAGTTGCATTTTCCTACTCTGCACTACTAAAATTTTCATCGTGCTATTTGTTTTGTATCTCTGTCTAATGTGCTCTAACACTCTGAAGAAGTGTTAAATTAACAGATATATTATTTCTTAATCCTGTACAGTCTTTTACTACTGAATCTTCTTTTTTCTGTGTGTGTGTGTAATTCCCCCCCCCCTCTAAAGGTTTAATTCATTGCATAATGACTGCTTTGGAAGATGTCAGTGTCATGTTTTGTTGTCATAAGATTACTTCTAATTATACATACTTGCATATGATATTAAAAATAGTTGATCATTTACAATTAACATTTTCAGATTTTGAGTATTTATTTATACTAAAATCAGAGTTTATTAGGTTTCCAAAATTTAAAAACTAGTGACTTAGCTAACTCCTAAAATATTAGTTAATTTTTTTTTTTTTTTTTTCAGAAAGAGATGCATTTTAATACATTTAATTGGGATATACTACATTTATGTGAAAATTAAAAAAATTTCAGTTAAGTTATTTAATTTATGCTGTGAGTATTGGCAGACCCGTATGTATATTTAAGAAACTTGGCATGATTCACCACACCTTTGAATTTAAAATTAAGTAAAGCTCAACCATGGCTTTAAAAATTATGCATTTTGAAGGAGAGTTACATTAGTCATCTGATCTAATGAAGGTTTGAAAGATTTTGCATTTTGAAGGAAAGGTATATGAGGCATCTAATCTAATGATGGTTTGAAGCATTTTGTATTGTAAAGGAATTAACACGATGTATCTCATTTTCAAGGAGAAATTGTTCTTAGAATTCAATGATTTGTTTAGGAAAAGATTTTAATGCAATGTACCAAGTTGTACCTGTGTAAAACATATTTTAAATAAAGTTGTATTTAAAACATATTTTGTTGTTATTCAGTTGATTATACGAGGTAGGATTTAAAAGTTCCCGAACTGAGTCTATAACTAAAAAATATTATGAATTAAGTTGCAGAAACATATCCTCCTTCTAAATAAGACCCTTGTGCAACAACACACTTTTGCCAACACCTGTAAAGTTCATCGAAACTTGTCTGGAATCCACTTTTGGCCGTGTCCTTTAATTTAGCCTGCGATACTTCTTCTGAAGATTGAAATCGACGATCCTGCAAATGACATACTAGTTCAGGAAATAGGAAGAAGTCGCAGTCTGCAAGATCAGGTGAATAAGAAGGATGAGGCAAAACAATAGTTTTCGCTTTCACAAGAAAGTCATTGACTAGTAGGGATCGGTGAGCAGGAGTGTTGTCAAGCTACAGCACCCATGACTGCTCAACCCACATTTTTGGTCTCTTCTTCCAGATCGACTCGCGCAAATGACGCAGGATTTCAGTGTACAGTTCTTTGGTCACAGTGCATCCTTCAGGAATAAATTCTAGATTCACAATGTCCGAGATTACTGAAGAATACCTCTAGCATGACCTTTCCTTTACAGCAATCTTAGCGGAATTTCTGCTCCCGTGGAGATTATGGTGATCTCCCTGTTGCCAATGCTCTCCTGGTTTGAGGGTCGTACAAAAAACACCATTTCTCATCTCCAGTAACAATTCTGCCAAATAGGGAAGTATTTTTGTCAACAGTGAAGATTAAGTCTCCATCATTTCAATTCAAATTTTTTTTGATATGTGTTTAACATGCAGGGAACGATGTGTTGATACACACTATGCATGTTAAGATCCTTAGTCGACTAAGGATCTTAACATGTCACTTTGATTTTGAATCACTGACTCTGATATGGACTCTGATATCCCAACTGATTCTGCTATTTGGCAAATTGTTTGCTGCCTGTTCGCATGTACCGCTGCAGACACCTTTTTGATGTTTTCATCAGTGTGCAAAGTCACGGAACAGCCACAACGTTCATTGTCTTCACTTTCCCTGCTTTCTCTGAAACGACAATGCCACTCAAAAGTTTGCCTTCTCGATAATGTTTCACTTCCATATACATGCTTCAACATTTCGAAAGTCTCCCAAGCGAACACAAAATTTGATACTGATTTTGATATAAAATTTGGTACGTCATTTTTTTCTATCGCCAGTTACTAAATGCAGCTGTTAAAAAAAAAAAAAAAAAAAAAAAAAAAAAAAAAAAAAATGCTGTTACTGCAAGCAAACCACTTTTAGAAAAGGGGTAGAACATAGTAACACAAGTCCGGGAACTTTTGAATCCTACAACGTATATATTTTAGGCCTTTTTGGAGAGTTGGGAAGGGAAATGAGATTTAGATTTTTAACAACTTATTGATTCGTACCTGCAGTGTATTTATTCATCTTTATGGTTAGTAAATGTACATAAAATTCATCTGTAACTAACAATCATAATTTTGTGCATAATTTCAGGATAAGTGACTGTTTTGGCTAAGATAACTCGCTGGAATTAAAAATGAATTTTTATAAATCTTCTGAAAAGATGAGGTTGACAAGCTTCATTTTCCTTTCTGTCTTCATGTTTCATCTATGTAGTGCTGCTCCTATTGATAATGGTAAATTTATATTTTGAAATTTTAATGCTATTTTATATTAATGAGCTTGAAGTTGAAAAGAGTATTTTAGTTAAATTTTAGCATGTAACAGTTTCATATGTGCATTAGTAATTGTGCAGATTGCTTAAAAAGTGTCACTCAGAATTGCATGCAGAGTATAATAACACAGACAATCACGAAGATCAGGACTTCAAAGTTAAAAGCATGAAAGACCTTTATTTCTGAACTAAAATACAAGTGAATAAGCTATTTACAATCAAAATCATCTTAGAAACATCTTTAACACATTGTCTCATGCAGCTTATCAGGGATTCATTTCCATTAGCTGAACAGTCTCCAGAAGCGAAAAGCTCCCTTGTCCAGTGCACATGCCCCTTTTATGCTTGCATGCAATGGAATGTCCATTCTTGACCTTGTAACATAAAGGTTTGGCGAGAATTATTCTTGAAACATCTATTACATATGGTCTGACTTTAATTACTTGGAAACTCTAAACTGTCCATATGTTATAGAACCATTAAAATTTGCTGTCTTTACAAGAGCATAAAATGTGACATTAAAAATTTTCAGTTGAAAATGCATTAAGGTAATATATTAATATGCTGTATTAAACATATTAAATATTACAACTTAATTGCTTTTACCGGTATTTATTAATATGTTGATTTAAAAATTTTAACTTATTATTATAAATTTATTAGCCCAAAAGGGTAGCTTGCATTGTGATAAAACAATGGTACCTCAAATTTTGAATAACATACATCTCAACCTGAATATGGGCATCTGGAAGTCCAAATTTGGAATTCATTTTATTATCTCTTTCATATTTTGTAAAGCATTTATGAGTTTTTGATTAAGAAACTCAACCATTTTAAAGTGAGCAATGGCAACACTGTACGAAAAAAAGAAAAACATTTTTATCTCCAGCGTGCGAGACTGTATCGGAAATTCTAAAGTTATGCTCTTTTAAATATTTTGTGATACTGCTGTTGAATTAAAATTTATGGTTTAAGTGCAAAGAACATGATATTTAATAAATAAGGGTAACACACAAAACGTTAAACAAACACCCCTTTGTACGTAATATAAAATCTGAAAGCCTTCAGATTTTTTTTTTTTTTAATTATTATTATGCTGTATACCATTTAGTAACATTATCTGGTACTTCTTTTTATAGTGGCCTTCGAGATTGAATTGCGAATCAGCAGAGAAATCTCGCCAAAATCTGGCTGCATGTTCTTATACCTTGCCGCATGTTGTATATTAACACTGTATTTCATTTTTGTTGTCACATGTTCTTATAATAATTGTTATGAGTTTTTTAATTTGTATTGTTTATCTAAAAATGTATTCATTGCTTTTTTTTTTTTTTTTTTTTTTTTGAATATGATGTTAGCAATCTCTAATTTACCAAGTAATGAAGTGAATGCCATATCATTTTTTCAAGAGGGCCCTTTTACCTGACAAGCGAGTATACAAAAATGGAAGCAACATGAAACATTATGTTAGTGACAAAACCATCTGGAGGAGCATTGTTTAAAATTGAAAAAAGAATAGCCTATGTTTTGGAAATTAGTTCAATGGTACCAGAATATTGTTCATCACTGCTAGTAGATTTATGTATTCTTGGACAGAGGAGTTAACGTCCTTGAAATGGTGTAACAAACAGCTTAATATGTGTGAAAGTGCTTCAGTTGACTGGAGCAATTACATGTGATAAAAAAATAAAGATAAGGATTCTTAAAAATATTCTTAGGAAACAACGTGCGAGCATTATTATATATTGTGTTGCAGTGGTTTCCAAACTGTTCGACACGGCTCTCCTGTGAGTTGCAACCTTTTCACAAGGGCGGCCCAAAATATTATAAAAGCTTCATAATTAATTGAACCAAGACATTTGGCCTAACTAAGCAAAAATCAAAGTGAGAAGCTAAAAATATGTAGATTTGTTTTGCGTGTGGGGGGTTTGTTTGTACTTGAACCTCTGTAAAAGTAAAGTTGCCTGGGCAGAATATTCTTGTGAATGAAAGACAGTAGTGCTGCACCTTCTCAATCACACTATACCTCACGACATTCTAAGATGAGAATGCATACAAAGCTAAAAAGCTAAAACAATCTTTTCATGGTTCATTTTGTAAAATGAAACTAGAAACTTTTCTTCGTATTTTTACTGTGCCATTTGATTTAGGTATGCATGCACTGTCTTTCATGAGTCACCCCCCCCGGGAGTTTAAAATCCATTTTCTTTCAGGTCAGATTTCATGCGATTTGTGCATGTCTCGGAAACTTCAGTCAAAGCAGCAGCAAAATAGCAATTTTATTACTGGATTTATTATAAAAATGCTCTCATGATTTGACAAAAACATTCATAGCGGTAATCTTAGCGGAACTGCATAGTGGATTTCCAACCTTATGAGGTTTTGAAATTGGTCACATATGTCAAAGATGAAGCAGATGGCATAACAGTTGTTTTCTTTTCCTCCCAGCCAGTGGATAAATGAATGCTTTAAATGCTTTTCTCATCGAGAGTGGGGTGAAGACAGGGTTCTGGAATCTACAGTTTTGTCAATAATGCCAAAACATGGATATCTTCCTAGTGGTCATTGACCGATTGATATGATGATATCAGCAAATTTTTAAATGAAAAGCTGGATGCAATGTAATCTTTTGTTTCTTATATTTTTTTCATTCCATTCTTCTTGCTCAACAATATTTATATTCCATAGTGAAATTTTTACAGAAATGGTAGAACTGTATTCTATAGTGAGTGCAAGTACTTTTTACTATATTCAGTGTTCTCAATTTAAATTAACCGATAGTATAGACACATTCAGGTGTGTAAACCTTTCATGACAGACTGTTCTGGAAAATCTTGCGGAAAGCATATAAGGAAGCATTGCTGGCTTGATTCAGTTTGTCAGTTTATAATTTATAAATCGACTAACTGAATCAAGCTGGCAACGTCTAATGAAATTAAGCTTGGCACTTCATGCAAATAAACAGTGACATAAATTAGTCCATGTAGTAGAGTTAGTGATAATTACTTCTTGTTTGTTGTCTTTGATAAATGGTTCTGTGATTTTTTTTGCTTTTGTATTTTTGATGATAGACCGATTTTTCAACAGTTATAAACATATAGTGCAAATAAAGAAAGTATGTCTTCAAACAGTGGCACGACTTTGAAGAAATGAAAATATCATGAATATGATGATGGTTATTTAGAGTTTGATTTTACATCAAAAGAAATGAATGGTGAAGACAGATCGCAATGTGTATTATTTCTGAAACTTTTGGCAGTGCAGTGTATACTTCCAAGTTAATTGAAGTGCCATTTAGAAGCTACACACACACAGCATGATTGGGAAATCTCGTAACTGTTTTGCCAAGAAGTTAAAAGAACTGAAACAATAAAAAAAAAAATGCATTTTTAAGACTCTATCAGTACCAAACAATGCTTTGCTACCATCTTACAATGTAGCTTATAGAATCCCAAAAGGGAAGAACTCTCATGGTGCTAATTTATAAGTGTGTGCTATAATAAAGAAGTACCTATTATTCTTTCTTGTATAAAAATTGGGAATTTTGCTAAAATTTATTTTGTTTATTTTGAGTATTAATGTCATATTTCAGCTCAGTTATTTCTTAGCAACTCTTGTGACTGTTAGTGAATTCCTTCATCTATCCAGCCTCTAAATCTTTTTGCAAAAGCAAACTATACTGAAAATGCAAGAGGTTTATTATTATTATTATTATTATTTATGCAGATGAGCCTAAAAATTTTACTATTAACAGGAAATTTTTAAAAGAACATTAAAGGAAACAAAGATGATAAATGAAAACATTGCAAGGCCAAAATGATAAAAGAAACTAAAAACTTGAAAATAAATTCTTAATAGAATCTAAAACATAGTCTTAAACTAGAAAAAAAAATGTAAGGCAAATTTTGCTGATGTGGTGCACTAAGAATTCCATCAATCAAAAAATTAATAAAGCAAGAAACATCTGTAATAAAGGAACTTTTTCAAGAAATTCTGACATGATTTTTTTTTCCCCTGGCAATTTTCTCTATGCTTTAAAAAATGTCAGAGAATTGCACAAATTTGGTATTGCACATTTCATTTTTCTTCCCATATACAGTGATCTGCTTTTGCTTAAAAAGAAAAACACGCACATAGAATTGCACAAATTTTGATCCATATAAATGAAATGTGAATTTTTGCATACTCTACTAGTGGACAAAATGTCATATTTCTAAAGAAATGCAACACTTTCATCAGGCAGAAAACTTAACATTACTACTACCTTAAAAACAGAGAAGTCAAGGAAAACAGAGTGTGCTCAGTGCAAAAACAAAGCAGGAATAAGAAAAATTACTGTTGAATTTGAAGGTGGGAAATTACTTAGTTTCTGTATGCACATGTATACCTGCATAACATAAATACATTTTGGTGACATCATGAGTTATCTATTTTAGTGACTTAGTGCATTGCCTCAGGAATACTTTTCAGGAGAGTGCGAATAATCACAGAAAGGGGGAAAAGTATTTATTGCAAATCGTAAATAATTCTTTCTCTCTCTCTTCCCCCCCTTTTTTTTGTGTGTGTTTGAAGGTTCTAAAAAGTATTCATACTAATTTACATTTTGTGTGGATTGGGAATCATAGTTCCCTTTTTAAATTAAAATTTTTTAAGTATGATAAGAAAATTATGTGCTGAATATTTTGAAAAAAAATGTCAGTGTGTTATTTCTAGAGATTAAGAAGTATTATTCTGTATAAGAAGCACATTATTTCTTTTCTTTTTTTTTTTTTTTTTTTTTTTTTTTGCATTGAATCTTATATTAGAATGTTGAACATTGCAAAATTTGATTAGTCTGTGTTCTATATCATTACTGGTTAAGAATGAATATTACACAATATATATGAGCAGAATTTCTTATGCATCACAACAAACATCATCTGAAATGGATATTTTAATGAACATAATATAAAATATCATAGTGAGTTGAACACTAACACTAATAAGTTTTAATAAGTAACTTTAAGTTATACTTTTAAGTTATATGTATAATGAAGAGAAAGCTTCTGTGTAGTGCAGGCATTTTTTCACAAAGTTTTATTTAGTGTTTGATATTGAAATTATATAGCATCAACAAAATGAAGGTGATATTTAGGTACCTTTTTAAGAATAAAATTACTGGGGGGAAAGAGTTAAATGCAGTAAAATAATGAGTTTCTAAAAACCTTTGGTGGTACAGTCTTTCTTGTCTTTCTGTCAAGATCTTTGCTGTGTAACTGCAGTATTTCTGCTATTGTCAAAATATCTATTATAACATTTTTGGTGATCTAGATGTATAGTTTAGATGAAATTACTTTTTTGTGCAAAAAATAATATTGTTATATTTTTCATGTAGGTTTTGACTCATCTCAGGTTACAGTTAATTATTTGCCTTGGTATATGGTTGTGATCTCCACTGCAGCTCTTTTGTTATTCATTTATTTTGTCATTGGTTGTGTTTGTTGTCCAAACAAGAGTATAAAGGTAATTAAAAGTATATTTTTTAATTTGTTAAGCTAATGTAAATCATGTAGTAGTAAAAATGACATTTTTATTATTTCAGGCACTTAGTTATCAAAATGGGTTTCCAGTAAGCCGTCTAAATGACAGCAGTTCTTTACAGTTTGAAAATCCCACCGAATTTGCAATATTTCCTCCACATTCAGCAGTTATTGATCTGCAGCCTATTAGTTCAGCATTTCCAGTATTTGAGGAAAAAGTTACTTTTGAGCCATTACCGGATATTCTTCCTAGAAATGTTACTTCTGGTCAAAGTCCAGCTTGCTCATCTCGACCTGCTCACTTTAGCGCCCTTTTAAAAAACAAAGTTTCACTTCATGATTGGTTTGGTGAGTTGATAATAATTGGATTTTGTAGCAGAATTTTTTTTTTTTTTTTTCCTGCCTACTAGAGTTAAATTTATAATTAGTTTTCTTTTATTACAATAGACCAGCATTTCACAGTTATGTTCTGTAGAGTCACTGAGGATTCCACGAAAAGTTATGAAATTGAGATTAGCGATGAAATATTGTGTACTTTTGTTATCTATTTTTGGCATTATGTTTATGTATTAACACAATTTAAAATATCTTTTAAACGAAAAGTGAAATCATGAAAAGATGTAAATCACATGTGCAATAAATTTAGTAATGTAGCATGATATGAAATGGATTTATTTGCCAAAAAATATAATCAGAATGCATTTCTACTTGTGTTTCTATTCTATTCTTAGAAGAAAAGAAAAAAATTTTCAGTTCAGCGTTAAAAGTTCAGTGTTAGTTTTCTGTAGATTTTTTTCTTCTCTCTCTTTTTTAAATTTTACCTTCTTTTGCAATTGGTAAGCAAATATAGAATTTTTACTAATAAGTGTAATATTTTTTATCATTAAATGTGCTACTGTACCTGTGTCATTATTAATATATATATTGGATTTGAATTCCTTTCATGACTACTGCTGAGGTGATTGATATGAGCGCAATTGATTTTGGAAAAATTAATTGATTTGAAAAGATATTCTAACATAAAACAAAAATTTAAAGAACTATCATTAAGTGAATTCTGGGTAAATTTCTCGGAAGAGTATCTAAACTTATTAAAAAGAGCTAATCATACTTCATTTCCTTTTGTGATGATGTATTTATACAAAAACAGGTTTGTCAGATTGCGCTGCAACAAAATCCATATACGGAAACCTATTTGATGCTGAATCTGATGTAAGAATTTAGAATAAAGTATTCAAATATCTATGTTTTATAAATGAGTTAAATTGTCATTGTTTTGATTTTGAATATATTGAGAATAGTGTCACAGCTTTCTTTGTATCAGATGATATTTTATCTTCACTGGGGTAATAATGATTTAATTTTTAAATTTGAACTTCTCTGATTTTGCGATAGTATGCACACTATGAAGTTTCTGAACTGAATTTTTCAACCAATCCAGGGAAGTTGTAAGGTGATAATTTGTTTTAGTGGCTCCTAGCACATATCCCAACATATATAACATCAGAGGGAATGTATTTAGAAAATTTAATAATGAATAAAATCATTGCTTATTCATATATTTCCATGTATATGGAGTTTCATAACTGGACTTTTCATGAATTCAGTAATAAAAGTTTGTAGTTGCGTCATGTGTAAGGTTATGCTTTGCGTTTTAACTTACAAAATACGCCTTTTTTATTTCTTTATTTAGCTTATGAACATCCTTTTTAATGGTCAGTTTATTTATATTTTTTGATTGCTTTGTATATTTTATTATATCCATTCTAATTAGTACATGTATGTGCTGCAAAAACAGTTTTTTAAAATTTTCTGTCACTGTGCCTCAGAAAAGTTGCCACCTTTCACTCTACTAATCAAAATAAATAAATAAATTCCGATCAAATTATATCTTCTGCCCACACATTTCACTCAGAGTTTTGAAAAATTTTGAAATTGTGATGTTTATCATCAGTTTTCTGTAGTTACTAAACTTGCTTTATCATAAGGCTATAGATCCTGATGTCAGTTTTGGGGCACAAGGAACACAAAAGAAGAGCAAATTTCAGATTATTTATTGTTTGTGAAAGAAGTTAAAATACAGATGTTTGTAGAAAAAGCAATATTTTGTATTTTTTTGCTACAGATCTTTACACAATGATTATAAGGTACTGTTTTGTTATTGGGACCAGATTCAGAAATGTATGTGTGTATGCACCATATGGATGGATATATGTGTTTGTGTATGCATGTATATATGTATGTGTATACATACACACATAGATACATACATGCATACACATGTGTATACATACATTTCTGAATCCGATCCTGATAATAGAAGAGTGCCAACTATAATTATCAAATATTATGTAATTTATAAATATTATGTAATTGCATATGTCATAACTTATTCAGATAATTTCATTTTGTTAATGCAAACAAAATGAGGAGGAATAAAAACTCATAAGAACAGAGATAGTTTGTGAAATTACACATGAGATTCCTTTTGAAAAATTTGATGTTATAGGGAGCGATGGAACTGTAATACTGATTTGAGAAATTGTATTATCCACCTGATTGAATTGAACATTGAGAGACCACTGCAGTGGCTATATGTCTTCTACACTTCAATGAACTGGAATTCCATCACCTATTTCACCCCTTAGATGATGTTATCACAGGACCCATTTTGACCGATCAGAGGAAAAAATCACTGGTTGGTTCAGCTACTTTGCTTTGAATTTGTTGAAATCTTAATTCTACAAGTTGACAGAAAAGTGTTCAGCAAGGATCAATAGTGTCTGCTTAAAACATCGTGGAGAAAACAACGCAATGTGAAGCATCGTGGGAGAAAATAAAGAAGAGAAAACATCGTGGTACAAAATATCATCATTGAAAATAAAGCAGTTAAAAAACTTCACAGTTTAAAAGCATCGTCGTCAAAAATATTGTGGTAAAAAATAAAGTACCTACAAATTAATGCATGACGATAACATCGCAGACATGCATTTTTAAGGCTTTAAAAACTATAAATGGATATTCACATAATGATTTGTTAGCACAAGATGGAAAGAAGGGCAATTTTTACTTTCATATTTTTTATTAACTAATAAATTTTAAAAAAAGAACAAGAACAAAACAAGAAAATAATTTTCACTATAAGAGTATCAAATTAACAAAAATAAAGAAAATAATCTCATAATTAACTTAGCAATTTTTTTATAAATAATGTTATGCAGTTATGTTTCTTTTTCTATTCCATTTTAGATTATACTTTTCATGAAAAGTTACATTAAAACTTTATAAAAAAGTAATTTATTAATGTTTTTTGTTGGTTAACTATGTCAATTTAAAATTCTGTTAAGTGCTATAAGTTGCATTAATTTTCTATGCTTAGTTTCCATATTAGATTTTCAGCAAATATATATCAGTTAATAAAAAAATATGAAAGTAAAAATTATCCTTCTTTCCATCTTGCGATCACAAATCATTATGCTAGTATCCTCTTACAGTCATTAAAGCATGTCTGCGATGTTATCGTCATGCGATGATTTGTAGGTACTTTATTTTTCACCACAATATTTTCTAAGATGTTTTTAAACTGCGAAGTTTTTGAATTGCTTTATTTTCGATGACGATGTTTTGTACCATGATGTTTTAGAACTCTTTGCTTTATTTTCTCCCATGATGTTTTCGCCTTGTGTTGTTTTCTCCATGATGTTTTCGTCCACGGTATTTTCAACTGTAACCGGATCAATTTCATATACTTACTATTTCTGCTGCCATACAATCTGGTACAATTTTAGAAAATTTAGCAGGTCATGATCTTGGTCTGCTTTCATGCACAAGATAACAACAAACTGAATTGTTAGACTTCAGATTCACTTAGAAAATCATACTGATGAAATTAGGGACTTCATACATTTTATTTTGAATTGTATCCATGCATTTTATTTTGTCTGCAGTTGATATAGTTCCTGATTTGAAGGCTGGAGTACATTTTATTGAGCTTCACTGGGTCAAAATTGAAACCAGCAGAAATTTCATGGATGGTCCAGAGGTAGTTTCTGCAAAATTCATTCTTTCTTTTCCAGTAATTTATCCTTTCTTTGTTCTTCCTGAAAATTTGATGCTTGCAATGGTTGTGGATGCAAGAAGACATATAAATTAACTAGGGCTGGATTGATTGTTGAAAGCTTGATTACTTTTCTAGGGAAAAACTATTCAAAACTTCACCATGCCAAAACTCAGTTTTGATGCAATAACTTATGTGAGCATGATTTGGTGGGATAATTGCAATATCTCTCCTTCTCCACTATTAAGGAACATTACGGATGAGGACATAAAAAAATCTGTTAAGGAGTCAGATTTCCAAAGCTCCCCTTATCATACTTTGATTGTAAAATGATTTGTGAAGTAGTGACTAAAGCATCTAAAAAGATGTATGCCACTGAGATAAGGGACAGCTTGATTAGCATGATCCTCATATCAAGATATATTATGCCAGAAATTTTCAAAAAAAAAAAAAAACAAACTTAAAGGTGCACTCTTTTAAATAATAAAATTAAAAATGATAAATATATTTACTGTTTATTTACTAAAAATAAAAAAATAAAATTATCAGAATTTGCAAAATAATGCTATTTTTAACAGCTTTTTGGGCAAGCAATAAATGCTTTGAAATTACAGGTTTTAAACTTTTCCCTCTTCCTCTGCTCCAAAATTCACATTAGAAAAAGTTGCATTTTGATAGTTAAGTGTAATAAGGTTTTTTTTTTTTTTTTTTTTAAATGAAAAACAGCAAATTTTTACCATTTTTTTTTTAAACTTTCACCACAAAGTGAGAATGGAAGGTACATTTTTATATTAAAACCTTTTATTTCATTTTGCATAGCTAGGTGACAGGTAACTTTTCCATGGTATGGCAATAGAAAAACAAGAAAAATTGTTTTTTTGGCCCATTCTGATGCTTATATGCAGATAAGCAGAAAACATTAGTAATCCTAAGAAAGCTTTGTAGGTGGAGGATGAGTTTTAGAATATTAATCAGAATATGGCGAGGTGTGACATATAGACACTTTAAAATAAAAATTTATTAAAATGATAATAGGAATTGCATAGGTTTTCAGTCCTGTACCACAAACAAAATGTTACAATCCAGTTTTAGAGAGCATTACAAATGCAAAGTGGAATTCTGACTTCATTAAATAAAATTTAGTTTAACTGATCCTGTATTCTAACATCATTTCAATGTTTCTTGCATTTTTACTTCTTCGTATGAACAGGGTTCGTACGGTCCTTAAAAGTCCTTTAAAGTCCTTAATTTTTTCAAAAATGATTTTTGGTCCTTAATAGCCCTCAATAGC